TCGCCAACTTTTAGCTGTAGAACTTTCCCTCGAAAATAGCAACCTCAATTTTCGGTACCATTCTATTATTAAAATTCATCTGTGTTTTCTTAATAGAAACAAGTAATTTAAAAAGAGTTTTTTTTAAAGTCAATTCCTACTTGTCAACAAAAGAAATTTTTATTTTAGTTAATTTTTATTAAATTGTTACAATTAATATAAATATTTTTATACATATGACAGAATCACAACATTAAGAGACAAAATAGAAAGCGATTTTCCTTGCAATTTTCCACTTTCCTTTATATGTATTATACTAGCTGATGTACCCGTTCTTCGCATGGCTGAATTTAAAAATTAAACAATATAGATTGAAGGATAAAGAAGTTTTTAATGAGTTAATTTTACGTGAATTGCAAATGTAACAAAAAAAAAGGCTTTTTGCATATCTTAGCTGTACAAAAGAAAGACATATTTGTTAAATTTTAAGTCTGTAGATCTAATAGCTGATAAAAAGGATTTTTTTTTTATTTATAATGCTCCGTAACTCTCTTGTGGGCCCCGATTTTTGAAAATACCTTCCTAAGCTGATCTCTGCTCAGCAAAAGTAACACATTGTTATAAATTTTGTGTAATGAAAGCTTAAAATAGAGTAAATAATTTATATCTGGATGTGTAATACGTTAGTAATTACTTTCAGTTGTATTTATTTTAATGTTAAAGTTGTAATATATATTCGCAAGCAACGCTGCTCTTCTATATATATAAAGGAGAAAAGCGACTCACTCACTGACTGACTGACTAATCACGATATCTCTGGAACTATTTAGCCTACATACTTGAAATTTGGTAGACATGTTCCTTTAATAGAGTAGACATCAGCTAAGAACGGATTTCCCGAAATACGAAACGCAAGGGGCGTTACGGGGGTTAAGGGGCGTTATAAATAATTGTTTCCATGTTTAAACTACTCAATGTACAATTTTGAAATTGGGTTAGCAGATTCCTTTCATACAGTAGAGATCCGCTACAAAATGAGTTTGGTGAAAATCGTCCCCCAAGTGGCGTTGCAGGGGCTTAGGGGGCGTTATAGATAATTATTTTCATTTTTAAACTATTTGACGCACTGTCTTTAAATTTGATGAATAGATTCCTTTCGTAGAATAATGATCAGTTACAAAACGGGTTTTGTGAAAACAGACTTCTAAGTGGCGTTGCGGGGGATTAAGGGGCGAAATAGATAAATATATCCGTTTTTAAACTACTTCACCTACCTGCTTGAAAATTGGTAGGTAAGTTTCTTTCATGGAGTAAATATCCGCTACAAAATGGGTTTTTAAAAAATTGACCCCCAAGGGGTGTTGCGGGGGTGGGGGTTTAAGGGGCGTTATAAATTCCGATTTTTTAACTATTAGACGTACAGTCTTGAAACTTAGTAAGGAGATTCCTCTCATAGGGTAGAGATACGCTACAAAATGGGTTTCGTGAAAATTGCCCACAAGTGGCGTTGCGGGACTTAAGGGGCGTTATAGATAATTATTTCCATTTTTAAACTATTAGACGCACAGTCTTTATATTTGATAAATAGATTTCTTTCATAGAGTAGAGATCAGCTATAAGAAGGTTTTGGGAAAACAGACCTAAGTGGCGTTGCGGGGGATTAAGTGGCGTAATAGATAAATATTTTCGTTTTTAAACTACTTGACCTACCTGCTTGAAAATTGGTAGGAATGTTTCTTTCATGGAGTACATATCCGTTACAAAACGGGTTTGGGGAAAATTGACCCCCAAGGGGTGTTAAGGGGGTGTTAAGGGCAGATATAAGTAATTATTTCTATTTTTAAACTATTAGACGCACAGTCTTGAAATTTGGTGAGCAGATTCCTCTCATAGGATAGAGATACACTACAAAATGTGTTTTGTGAAAATAGACCCCTAGGTAGCGTTGCGGGGGTTCAAGGGGCGTTACTGATAAATTTTTTTTTTTGCATTTTTAATTTATTGGACGCACAAATTTTGCTAAGCAGATTCCTTTCATAGAGTGCAATTCCCCTACAAAATTTGTTTTGTGAAAACAGACACCGAAGTGGCGTTGCGGGGGCTCAAGTGGCGTTATAGATAATTATCCCCATTTTTAAACTATTAGACGTACAGTCTTGAAATTTGATAAGCAGATTCCTTTCGTAGAGAACTGCTACAAAATGGGTTTTGCGAATATCAACTACCAAGTTTAATTTCGGGAGATTAAGAGGCGTAATCGATAAATATTTCCATTTTTAAACTATTTGATCATCCTGCTTGAAAATTGGTAGGCATGTTCCTTTCATGGAATATAATTCCTCTAACAAAGAGTAAAACGAAAATTGACCCCTAAGGATGGTTGCGAGGGGTCAAGAGGAGTTACAGAAAAATATTCCTGTTTTTAATTGTTAGACCCATATACTTGAAATTTTTTAAGCATGTTTCTTTTGTTGAATAGGGATGCACTAAGAATGTATTTTAAGTAAATCAAATTTTGCGGAGGGGTGCAGGGGTTACTGGGACGTATTGACACAAAAAAAATCCTTTTTTCGAGCTACAAGGACTATAATAATGAAATTTGGTTTGCATTTTTCTTTTGTTGAATTGAAATCCGCTAAGAGAGGTTATTTTGGAAAACGGCTCTCAACACGGGATTACGGGGATATTGGTAGAAAAACTTTTGTTTTTTTCTGTTTGATTTAGACTTGAAATTTGGCTTGCATGTTCAATTTACGGAGTAGAAATCCACCGCGAAAATTGGTTTTGCGGGAATCCACTTGGTTTTTGGGTTACGAAAGAGCAAACATCATTCTATACTTCAATTTTAGAGATTTTTAGAAAATACAAATTAGATGAGTTCTGCCCTTTTTATTTATCAAGAGGTGACAGTTACAGGTCTAAGTATATTTTTCAATACAATCGAATTCTTAATGCTAGGACTTAGATATCAATAATTTATACATATATATAAGCAGTAAAAATTTATAAAACATAATGAAATACCCAGCGAAGCGGGCGGGTAACAGCTAGTTACATTATAATGGCCATTCAATGAAAACATAACGAAATGTTGGCGATAGAGCCAAGTTGGCATCATTTTTGGCGACCATGTTGGCAACTTGCCGAGGGATTGAATGGTGCAGAAGTTGATATGCTATGGCGCCACCTGGTGGGGAACTACAACAAAAAGGATTGCTCAAAAACCTTTTCCAAAAAGAATACATATATTTGCCAATTTTCATAGTGATCGGTTGATAGTAAAATCATAAAAAAAAGGTGAATTGAAATAAATTATCAATTTTTATCGTATTTATGGTTCATTATTTTGGCGATAATGGCTTACACATAAAAGATATGTGCTGTCGTGAGCTTTTTTGTATACGTGATTATATACGTATAACTCTAGCGGTTTTTACATCGCACGCCAAAATAGCTTGCTGATGGCAGGATTTTTTCCTGCTTACTTGGCATTTATCGTTATATTTTGGACACGTCACACAATATCATTATAGCCTATGTGTTATTTTGATGTATAAGTTATATAAATTAAAAGTAAAAAAACTTTTTTAAAAACAAGGTTTTATTTAAATGCGCTACAAAGAATAAAATAATTTTTTCTTTAAAATTTTTTTACTATCAACTTATAACGTCATTACTCAATTTATATGATATAAAAGCTTGTCGCAAGTTTAAAGTACTCTTATTTACATAGTTTGAAATTCTTAAGAAATTAAAATCAATCAGATCAAGTTATTTAATTTACTTGTTTATTTGCAGAGGTAAATCTCGCGACAAGCTTTTATATCATATAAATTGTGTAATGACGTTATAAGTTGATAGTAAAAAAAGTTTTAGGGAAATTGTTTATTTTATTCTTTTTAGCACATTTAAATAAAAGCTTGTTTTTAAAAAAGTTTTTTTACTTTTAATTTATTTTTTACTTTTTAGTTATCACTGGATAGGTTTCTGAGTCTGTTCATCTCATTGAACGCATCATTGTTGCTAGGTGTTAGCCGGTTATTTTCGAACAGTCGAGCTAAATGAATTGTCGCAAAAAGGGTGCTGGACGAAAAACACAATTTGTTTCTTAAATCCGCAATTTTTAAGCAATTTTTTCAATCTTCGTACAGATCTTGGGTAATATTGTCTTACACACGGAAAAATAAGTTTTATGACATTTTTTTCATAAATGACATTTTCATAAATTCTTAGATTAAAGTAAGAATTTCTATAAAACTCCATCTCAGTTTAACTTGGCAGCGTTGAGAAAGGTATATAATGTACCAATCTACTTGAAAAATAGCTCTACTTTTTTTGTTTTGAATTTAAATCCAAGAAAATAGATAGAAATTTGTAAAAAAAAAAATTGCATACGTTGTAGAAATTAGATTATTTTTACATTGTAGAGATGTAATTATTTTTTAGGCGAAGTTAATTAATACAGTCAATAGCGCAACGTTATGAAATTCCAGTTTGGCTGAAAACCGAATTTCGACGCCAACTTTTGTCATTGTTGTAACAGTAACATTATTACAACAATGCAGATATATCCAAGTTGGCGCCCAAAACTAGTTTAATGTTTTTAATTAATATCTTTTTAATTAATTGCAATATCGGAATATAAATGGTCAAAACATGCATTGTCATCCAAACTAAACGTGTATACAAAATTTCAGCTCAATGGGATGAAGATATCAGCTTCAAAATTGAGTTGCAAGATTCCACCCGAACAAATTACATACATACATACATACATATATTGTAAGTTAAATAAAAGCTTTAATAATAATAATAATAATTAATGATAAGTTTCATTAAAATCCATTCAGTTTTTTTTATTGAAAGAGTAACAAACATCCATACATCCAAACTTTCGCGTTTATAATATTAGTAAGGATTCGAGAATTTTTGTTTGTTTGTGACTATTTATTCATGAATTAAATTTAATTATTCTATAAAACAGTAAAGTAAAAAATGTATCACATTCTCAGAAATTACGCCATCCCAGGTGGGATTTGATACCACGACTTTTGGATCTTTTGGATTAGAAGTCCAATGCGCAATCTATTGTGCTTCTGGAACACAACGAATGATTTTCCTTTTTATATATGCTATTGGACTATTATTTTGTGTTGGTTACTATTTATTCATTTTTCAATATAATTAATGAATTGATATTTGAAAAAAGTGTATTAACATCAAGTGTGTGTGTTATCCACTACAAGTTCATTTATGTATTTGAACTTGAATGGATGAATAGAAAGCATTTTATTAACGATTGAAAATTTGAACAAGATATATACACTGGTGTGCAAAACTTAAGCAACAGGTGGGTTTATTGCCATAACTTCACGAAAAATCATCTGAGAAACATGAAATTCTGAAATGAGGGAGAGTATTATGTACGTAAAGGATAACGAAAGCATCGGCGCTGAAAAAGGAATACAACGCATACGGTAGGGAATCTAACAAAAACAAGCTTTATTGAACGCATAGTATCGTGACTCATGATTGTCTATCCAACAGGAAGAACAACAAGCAAATGTTCCTTAATATGGTATATGCCCTCCCCTCACTACAATGTTTGCTTCGCACCGTCTCCGCATACTCAGAACCAGCTGGTGCAACATTTCTTGAGGTAGGAGTGCCCATTCCTCAATCAACATCTGTTTGAGCTGTTGGTTGTTCTCCAGATGATGTAAGCGTGCTGCAATACGTCTCCCCAAAGTATCCCACACATGTTCGATGGGATTTAAATCTAGGGAGCACGCTTGCCAATCCATTCAAGTGATATCTTAACTTTCCAGCAGCTCCTCAACAGCAAGAGTGCGATGTGGCCGTGCATTGTCATCCATAAAAATGAAGTCTGGGGCAATGGCACCTCGGAACAGACGTACATGGGGAAGAAGTACCTCCTCACAATAGCGATCCCCGGTTACAGACCCTCTGTCGAAAATGTGAAGCTCAGTTCGCCCGTTCAGCATAATGCCTCCCCAGACAAGAACTCCAGGACCACCGTAACAGTGTCTTTCCTTGATGTTACTGGGATAAAACCACACACACAGGTCCCGATCTCTCTCCAAATCAAAACGCGTTGAGAATCGCTTCTGGTACTGAATCGACTCTCATCCGTAAAGAGGACACGATTCCATTGATCAGTTGTCCAGTTTTTGGGCTCTCTGGTCCACTGTAAACGGTGGCCAACTTTCAACGCGAGGCAGCGTTTAGGACGGCGGGTGAATAGGCCCCCTTTGTGAAGGCGTCTGGCCACAGTAAACCGCGACACTTATCGACCCGTTGCTGTACAGAGTTTCTGAGCAATGGCACTTGCTGACTGCTGTCGACCACTTTTCGCCAGCGGGATGATATATCGGTCATCCCCTGAAGTTGTCGTCCTCGGGAGGCCACCACCAACCTTTCTAACAGCTGTTCCTGTGGTTTGGAACGCTTTCCAAGCGCGCGAAACAACACTTTTGTTGATTCCGAACTCTGCAGCTACACTGGTGACAGTACGCCTCTCCTCCAGCTTTCCGATCATTCTTCCACGTATGAAGTCGTTTACGACTAGGTGATTTCTTCTAGCCATATTTCACGAACTGACTCACTGGCACTTGCAGCGAATATGTTGAATTGCGTCTCCTTCCTTCATTTTATTCTACTGTTGAGCAGCACGCGCCGACATCACGCGTTTTGCGTACGCTCACATCGCTTCTGACGATTCGTTCCTGATATTTGCATACGCATGACGTTTCTACTGACTTACGTGTTCACTGTACTGATCTCCAGACCTCCTTTTCTGCAATTTCATGGCTATCTGCTAAATTTTTAGATTGTTGCTTAAGTTTTGCACACCAGTGTATACACTTGCCCCCCAAAGTCTGCGTACAGGCGATCATCTTTCATATTCATGTAAAAATCACTAATTAAATGAAGTCTTTCTGAATCAACGCTATTCATTAATTATTCATCTAACGTCGTAATTCAAATAGTATAAGCAACAATCACCTAAATATTACATAAAATAATACAAATATTCATAACTTGAGAACGACACAAATCGTGTGTGCGTCAAAAGTCTGAGTACACTGGAAGAAACCTTTACAATAATGGATTGTAACTAAAAGTTAATACTTTTTAAGCTATTCCGTTCTTTCTATAACTATCTCATCATATTTGGCAGGGATTTAACTATCTTAGTTGTCTCATCCATGGATATTTTGTTCCATTCTTCTACTATGAAGATTTGAGCATTTTCTTGGATGTTATTAAGTTTTCCCTGATTATTCACTCGAGTCAATGCTGTAATGTGCTGGGAACTAGGATGGCCTACAGGATCCTCAGAACAAGGGGAGTGGCTACCTTTCGCTACCTTTGTGCCGCTGAAAGTAAAAATCATCCCTCACGCTCCACACTTTCCGTGACAAGTTAAGGTAATCAATTTTGTACATTGTTGATTCAATAAATTCCAGATTACTAGCCTAACACCCCCAAACAGTATGCCTCTTTTGCCAAGTTTGATAGCCGAAAAAGGATTCTCTTCCTTAAGATCTGTCCAGGAATTTTTGCAGGCATATTTTTTTTTATGCCAAATTACAAAAAAAAAAAAAAAAAAACCTTTAATTGAATATATTACATTTTTCGAATAATTATATATCCTATTTAGATGTTTTTTGGCAAAGGTCATTCTCTTAGGTCTTTGGCAAAGGTAATTCTTCATCACTCGGAGAGATAAATGATTTATTGAGTGCAACTCGTCCATGATAGTCATCAGTTTTCAGTTCCTTCGAATTGTGGTTAAAGTCACATTTTTTTGCAAGATCTCAACTACACTTTTAGCTATTTGTGAAGCTTATAGTCTTGGTTTTATTTTTATAGAGTGCATTACAAAGCAAAATTCTCAAGGTGACACTGCAGACGAGGGCTGGATCTTGGCGTGGAAGTTAAAATTTTAATTGATTTGGGGTTTATGAACACTTATTGAATCAATGAATTTCTCCTATTAACAGTTTCAGCAATTTCTTTAAAAATTTCCCCCTTTTCTGAAGATTTCTGATGATTTTTCTTTCAATAATATATTGATCTCTATTCTGTTGCCTGCCATGGAACCACAAAAGTTTTGAAATTTTAAATCCTAAAATAAGCTTATAATTACTTAAAAACATGATTTAGTGCAATTATTTTACAATGAAAGGTCTTTAAAAGCTCTATTTTGTCAGTGTACGCAGGCTTTCGGCACGGATGGTTGGTGATTATTTAGTGGTCATTCTTATTTTTTCATGTTAAGGTGAAATTTGTTGCTGCTGTTTGAATAAGGAAATTTTGAAGCTATCTGACAGCTATCTAGATTTTCTAAAGCGAGATTTTAATAGAAATTATAGCATAAACACGTAAGATGATTGCTTGTACGCAGACTATTGGAGGCAAGTATATACAGTACAGAGCGAACTAATAGTAGAAATTGCAAAAACAATTTGTTTTTCTCACTTCCAATGCTAAATTTCTCCTCGAAATTAAAATTTTGATTCTCTATAGAAAACAGTACGATAACAAATATTCACGAGAAGTTTTTAACGTAGATTAAAAGTTTTCAATCAATCTCTATTGTATCATTAGAATTAGTTTTCGGTCTTTCAGAGGCAGCGCACGGCGATGCACACTGCGTGGCACGGGCTGTCGACGTTTTGCCCCACTTTGCCCGGAATGGAAGAAAAGTACTACACACGCAAGATGTGCAACATGCTCATCTTTTACAAGGACTATAAAGAGTTTTGTAACTGCACTTCTGTTATACGACCTGGTAAGTTAGACTTGTGAAAAGGAGAAGTGCTTTCACAGAAGCTGTGCAATGAAGCTCAAATGAATGTATTCATGCGTTTCAACATTCTCATTTTTCATTTTCTTTGCTTTCATTTGCTGAAATGCTTCAGTTTAAAAGAGTTCCCCAGCACACTTCTCCCTTTTTTTTATAATTGAAGAGAGATTTTATCTGATTATTTTATGAACGTTGCACTTCGAAGTTACTCGAAGCTATTGATGATCGACCTCGCAGTTTGAAAGTCGGTCAAGTGACGAGGAAGACACTCTAGTTGGTATCCCACTCTCCAAACTTCCACATAACTTTCATATGAAACTATGAGCCACGAAATTTAAAGTTGAGGCTAAAGAAGGGGGGGGGGAGGGGAGAGTAGTATGAATAAGGCAGAAAAACACTACTCAGACCTGAGATAAAAAAAATACCAGAGTAATAGCTCAACTTTATGTGCTTTTGGTGCTGATTTCAAAAATAATAATGTAAATTTTCTATCTCATCCACATTTTCTTGAAAAATTCAATTTTACTTTAATTATTATGGGTATTTACCAAAAATTTGTTTCAGCGTTGAATTGAAAGTGTCACAGAATACCCCTCAAGGACTCCGGGCATGGCACAATCTCTCTCTATGAATAATTGCTCCACAAGTTCAAAGCTACGACACCGAATGTAAGCTGTCCTGTCTCAAATTAGAACTCCTTTAAAAATTAATAAATTGAGTTTAAAACAAATGATGTGGAGGCGGTGTTTCTCAATTAAATAAAACATTTATTAAGTTATTTACATGGTTTTATGCTGTTTCGCCTGCCCTTGTTGCCACAGGTGAGAAGAGAAACCCTAGGCGCTCGTCTGTCGTCTGTTTGTTTACTCTTCTTCGCACACTTCCTTCTCTCTCCATTCACAACATCCTCCCACTTTTGAGTTTTGGAAGCTGCGAAAACTCAAACACAACATAAAAAGTATAACAGTAAGAATAATATAGGTACTACAAAATGCTGGTGCTGAAATAAAATAAAATTTACACCAGAATAATACTTTTACAAGATACACTTTAGTTGTATGTCAAACGCTTAGGAGAAATTACTTTTCTGCCTTTCTTTGTACGAATGATGGAATCGGTCTGTTCTTTTGATAAATTAATTTCCGGTTCTTGCAGTTCCAGGTTGTATAGTCCTTGCCCTGGTCTGACCAGTTCCCTAATCTCAGTTTTTACTCGAGTGACTCTAACCTGTCTATCTTTTCTAGGAATAAGTTCAAATATTCTAGCAAGA